TTTTGTGGGGTTCCCTCTTCCCCTTAACCCCACAGGGGAGGCCAAAAGAGTCTCCCACTACCTAATCTGAATGGAATCTAGGGTTTTTTGGTGGATTTCATTTTCTCCTCTGACCTCAACTTTGGGGTTTTTCCTCACTCAGTTCCCATATATCCTTCTCAGAATTCCCAAAGATGTCTCGCTGCCTAAGCCTCTCCAATGCCTCAGTTAAGGAAAGCCCCATCATATTGAAGCAAGTTTTAGATCTGGTTTCATTTGTACTTCTCAAGACTGCCCTCACATCTGCTTTAGGTGCAGTAAATATGACAATGCACAAAATTCTCAAGAATGGATTTAACAACAGCAAGTATTTGAGGGATGTTGGAAACCCTCCCTGGGAAGCTCTGCTCTGCAGAAGCTTCTTCCACCAGGCTGTAGCTTTGCTAGACAGCATGGCTGGGATGGCTCCCAACACCACCCGAATGTTCTCCAAGTAGAACAGCTCCATGGGGGTTCAAGGCTATGATCTTTCCGAATAGTTCTCCTTTCTTGTCCCAAGTACCTCTGTGTAGGCTTGAACCACTAACCTTTTGCCTAGTAGTTGAGTGCTTCACCATTTGAACTATCCAGGGACTCATTCTAAACATTTACTTGACCATTATTACCCAGATATAGTATTAGAGTCTTGTCATGTTCACTTCTAAGGAGCATTCTGACGTATTGTACTTTTTCCAAGACAAATATGTTTGTTCTTCTGACAGTCTATGTCAAATCCAAATTTCTTCACCAACACCAAATAGAAATGTATCCATTTTTATTTCTATTTATTTATTTAAAATCATTTTATTGGGGGCTCGTACACCTCTTACCACAATCCATACTTCATCCATTGTGTCAAGCAAATTTATACATTTGTTGCCATCATCATTCTCAAAACATTTGCTTTTTATTTGAGCCTTTGGTATCAGCTCCTCATTTTTCTCCTCCCTCTGTATGCCCCCTCATGAACCCTTGATAATTTATAAATGATTATTATTGTCATGTCTTACACTGTCCAATGTCACCTTTCACCCACTTTCCTGTTGTCCGTCCCCCAGGGAGGGGGTTATATGTAGATCCTTGTAATCGCTTCCCCCTTTCTACCTCGCCTTCTCTCCACCCTCCTGGTATCTCCACTCTCAGCACTGGTCCTGAAGGGATCATCTGCCCTGGATTCCCCGTGTTTCCAGTTCCTATCTGTACCAGTGTACATCCTCTGGTCTAGCCAGAATTGTAAGGTAGAGTTGGGATCATGGTAGTGGCGAGGAAGGAAGCATTTGGGAACTAGAGGAAAGTTGTATGTTTCATCGTTGCTTTCACCTCCCTGTGACCCTTCTGTAAGGGGATGTCCAGTTGTCCCATTTTTCTTTAGTGGTCCTTACTCCTCGACTGTGGCTGCCATGAGCATCTTGTCTGGCTCTAAGAGCTCACCATGATGTTGTTTATTGGTCCAGTTGTGTGGATGATACTGCACCTGAAATCTTTGGTCAGAGATGACTCCGTAGATTGCTGTGACTCATCTTCTCTAGATTCAAAACAAGTACAGATCACACGTGCTTTTTTTCTTTCCAGGTTTCTCAGAGTCTGAGGAAATATTAGACCTTTGACCAACAGCCCAATGATTTCTAGGGACTTGGCATTGGGACTGTCTTTCTCCTCCAGACTGGTGCTGGCCCCCTGGGGAATTCCTCACTTTTAGGGCTTCACTTATACTTGTTACTTTCTGAACACAAACTCAAGCCGATCAACCTGGTTCCCAATCACCTGTGTTCAGCTAACTCCCTGGTGCTTCTCTCTAAAGGGGTCCCTCAGGCCATGGCAGCTCTGGCGTTGAAAGAGCCCCCGGATGATGTGGGCTGCAGACTCCTCTTCTACCTTCACCGAGTGGCCCGGGGGACCTTCCTCTGTACCACCTGCCTCCTGAGTGGCCTCCGGGCCATCACGATCAACCTCATTGCACCCACGTGGACAGAGCTCAAAAGAAGCACCTCAGAGCCTATCGTCTCTTCTTGTTATTCCTGCTGGTTCCTCGAGTTTCTGATCCATGTGGTGACTCCTCTTTCGGTCACTGGACCAAATCCTAGCAGAAATACCACCATCACAAATCCCTTGGGTTACTGTTCTGGGGCCGTTAAGCCATCAGTTGTACTGCTCTCGGCTCTCTGCTTGCTTCCATTGATTTTGTGTTTCTAGGACTCATGCTCTGGGCCAGTGGGTCCATAGTGTTCTTTCTGCACAAGCCTCAGCAGCGAGTCCAGCACATAGATGAGAGTCACCTCTCTCCTAAAGCCTCCCTCGAGACCAGAGCCACCCACACAATCCTGGTGCTGGTAAGCCCATTCGTCTCTTTTGACTCCCTCTCTTTCATCTTGGCATTTTACATGATGCTCGCCGATGTTAAAAATGGGGGGCTGTTCAAAATCGCCACATTCGTAGCAGCGTGTTTTCCCACCTGCAGCTCCTTGGTGCTGCTCAGCCGAGATGCTCGGCTCTGCAGGCTCATCTTTGCTGTGCAGAGGAGTAAATCAGCTCCCCTCAACAGGAGTCGGATTAATGAATATCTTCTCAGAACGTTCGCTTATGAATTTATTTATTCTTATGTCCTTTATGACCTTAATGTCTTCTGTGTATCAAGACTTTATAACCCAGTACACAGTTATGTGTGAGAAATGAATAACAGTAGTATAGACATTTATGATTTATCCATTCAGACAGAGACTTAAAAGCAATTACTTCACAACATTTTGCTGTGATTTTTTACTGTGCACCGTCGAGTGGCTTCTGTATCAGAGGGATGCTGTAGAGTACAGAGAAGCAGCCCCGCCCACAGGGTTCTCTAGTCTGCAGGCTATCCAGAGACAGATCACCAGGTTTCTTTTCTTCCATAGGGTCATGGGGGGTCTGGGTCTTTTTTTTTTTTCAAATCCCTGACCCTTCTGCTAGCAGCATAATGCTTAACCATGGCACCAATAGGTAGCGCCCTTTCATTAAGTCATTGAATAGAATTCTGGCAAGTCTACAATTATTGTCAGTGCAGGCTGCTAAGGGAAGAAAGCAGTAGTCACTAAACTTATGTCAGAATTCTCTTCAATAATCTCCTGGGTTTTAGCTGTCCCAGTATGTTTCAAGTGTGAGGCTCTGTTGTTAGGCGCTATCAAGTTGGTTTCTATTCCCAACAATGCTGTGTATAAGAGAATGAAACACTGCCTGTTCCTCTACAGCCCTCACGGTTGTTGCTGCTACAGCCCTTTGATGCAGCTACTATGCAAACTCATCTCGTTTAGGTTCTCCCTCTACGCCACCCAGCATGAGGTCAATCCCAAGGACCTTGGCTCTTCTGATATCATGTCTAATGCATGTGGGATGAACTCTCACCATCCGGGACATTCTTGCTGTACTGCTTCCAGGACAGATAGACGTCTTCGTTCTTTCTGCAAGTGCATTCAGTACCCTTTGCCGACACCATAATTCAAGTGATTTCTTTCACCAACACCATAAATCAGTTGTTCTCTGGTCCTCCTTGTCTCTTGTCACCCTTTTGCATGCAGGTAAGACTTTTGAAAGACCCATGGTTTCGGTCAGGTGTACCTTAGTCCTCACAGTGACATCTTGGCTGTTGCAGCAGATACACCCCACGCGATACATTGCCGGACTTCTTGCTGCTGCCTCCATGAGCTCTGTGGATTCACGTACGTTGAGATCCTCAAGAATGTCAATGGTTTCTATGTTTATCATGAGGCTACTTACTGGGGCAGTTAACACCCCAACGTGTTACCCCAAAAGAAGCCCTGTGGTTACATATTGGGCCACTAACTTCAAGGTCAGCAGCTCGAAACCACCAGCCACTTTGAAGGAGAAAGATGGGACTTTCTACTCCCATAAAGATTTAGGGTCTCGAAACTCAGGGTCAATGTACCCAGTTCTCTAGAGGCACTGTGAGTCAGCATCAACTCGATGGCAGTGAGTGGAGAACATTATGCTGAGTGAAATTAGTCAATCACAAAAGAACACATGTTATCGGAGACCATTGATATGAGGAAAATAAAAAACAAAGACAAGATAAAGACTCACATATTAAAGTGGATGGACCTTGGAGATTGCCACAGGAGGGGGAATGAGCGAGGGAAGATAAGCGATAGGTTCAACTGTGGTCAGGTGTTCACAGGTGAGATGGACAATAGCAGTCCATCACAGGGAGAGAGAAATCAAGGCTCAGGGGGAGGGTAAACTATGGAGGGATTTAATTAGTAGTTTAAACTGTCGAATACAAAGGTGAAGATCTGAAATGTAAACCCCAAATCATAGCCATCCGACTCTGAGCGACTCAATAGGACAGGGTACAACTGCCCCTGTGACTTTCCCAGACTGTTATTCTTTAAGGGAGTAGAAAGCAGCATGGGTCTTCCTGAGAGCGGCTAGTGGTTTAGAACTGCTTACCTCATGGTTAGTAGAGCCTCACCTAATTTACAATAAAAAATGTTTTTCAAAGAGAGAAACACACATTTTATCATTCTTATGAGTGGTAAGTAGTGGTGATGGGGAAGCATGGTGTTTCACACACCATCAAGCAAGCAACACACACCTTGTATGTCTACCCAGGATCATCTGCCTCTGGAATCAACCCACACTCCCAGGGTCTGACAGACTTGGGCATGGAAATCATCTCTCTGGTGCAGACTAGGATACTGCCTTCCTCCGCCATTATATCCTCCCCCAAGTCACTGGTAGCCATGTGAAATCCATAGATCTGATTCTTAAACACCAGGCAGTGGACAACTTCATGGAGACTCTCTTGAAAGGAGGCGCTCAGACAATGGGAGCTTTGGGGTTGACTACTTTCCAGATAATGTCAGTGCAAATGTGACTCTTATCTACGGTGTGTGTGTGTGTGTGTGTGTGTGTGTGTGTGTGTGTGTCCCTGGCTTCCACTTGCCTCTTGAATATCTTTTAGGCCATCACATGGCCTAAAAAAAAACAAACATTTTTTATTGTAAATTAGGTGAGGCTCTACTAACCATGAGGTAAGCAGTTCTAAACCACTAGCCGCTCTCAGGAAGACCCATGCTGCTTTCTACTCCCTTAAAGAATAACAGTCTGGGAAAGTCACAGGGGCAGTTGTACCCTGTCCTATTGAGTCGCTCAGAGTCGGATGGCTATGATTTGGGGTTTACATTTCAGATCTTCACCTTTGTATTCGACAGTTTAAACTTTTAGGTTCATCCCCAGACATTCCAGGTGGATAAAGCTCAAGTGCAGAGCTCCCAAGTTCATTGGTCCGTACCTTTGCCTGTGCTGGGCCCTGCCTATGGTGGAAAATATCCTTGTTCCCATGCACAAGACAGCGTGACAGAGAACATCTCACACTGAAGAATTTGGGATATTGAGCCAGTATATCTCCTGGGTGGATTCCTGCCACATCACACGAGGTGCACTTAATCACCACTGATATGTGTTTGGGACGCATGATCTGGGTCAGTGGTTCCACGGTCCTTCTCCTGTTCAGGCACAAGTAGTGAACCCCACACACTCACACTCTCCTGTCTTTCTTGTCCCTTTGTGCTTACTACACCATTTTCTCTCAGATCTTCTCTACTTGTTGAGATCAGATGCCAAATTGGCCTCGCGTAGCCATCACTTCTAAACCACCAGCGGCTCCTTGGGAGAAAGAGGAGGCTGTTTACTTCTGTAAAGAGTTACTGTCTTGGAAACCCACAAAGGTAGTTGCCCTCCTTCCCCTCCCCTCCCCACTCCCCACCCTGTACCTCCCCACCCTCCCCACCTCCAAGATACCAAACTGAAAAGGAGTTCAAGCTCATTACATAACATGGCATAGTATTTGCAAACAAAGTACACCCTCCAGCATGCTTTAGAGCTTCTCCAGATTACTTATAACACAATGTAAATGTTATGTAAATAGAACTATGGTTCCTCTTAGCCTTTGAGGAGCCTGGGTGGCACAATGGTTTACCTGTTCTGCTGTTAATTACAATGTCAGAAGTTTGAAACCACCAACCGCTCTGGGGGAGAAAGATGAGGCTTTCTACTCCTGTAAACAGTCACAATCTCAGCAGCCTCCAGGGGAGTTCGATCCTGTCCTATAGGTCACTAAACATCCAAGGGCAGTGAGTTTGCTTGCTTCTTTTTGGTTTTCTTAGCCTTTGAGGGCTTGTGTTGACTACTTTTTAGGAGCCATCCCTTGTCCCTCCAAGATTTTCTTTCTACATTTCCTCGAAGGCTGGGGTGCAGAACGCACTGATGAAGTCGGGGGTCGGGGAAGAAGAAAGGTAACTGTATATGTAATCCCTGGCGGGAACAACCAGTAGAGTTCCCAACCACTAACAGGAAGGTTGTCAGTTCAAACCCAGCCAGCCCTGCCTGGGGAGACAGCCTGCTGGTCCGCCTCAGAATGGGCACAGCATTGAAAAGCCTGTGGAGCTGCTCTCGTGGTATTGGGGTCCACTTGAGGGCACGTGATTCTAGGAGGGCCAAGGTGGCACAAAGAGTTAAGCACTTGGCTCCTAGCTGAAAAGTTGGAGGTTTGAACCCACCCAGAGATGCCCCACTAGACGGGCGCGGTGATCTGCTTAGAAAAGGTCAGGATCTTGACAATTCCGAGGAGCAGCTTTGTTCTGGACACATGGGGTCACTAGGGTTCAGAATCGACTTCAAGGTATCTAATGACAACAATGATGATGATGACCCTAGTTGTGTGCTTCAAGAGTAAAGAAAGTGGTATGTATAAAAAATAATTAGAAGAATACAAAGGTTATGTAACATAAAATTAATCACTTCAAGTGTGTGATTTAAGGGGGTGTCTGCATTTCAGAGGAGGCACCTTTATTTCTGTTGGTAGGTCTGGTGGGCAAATGGGGAGGCGTAAGCGCACGTCGGGAAAGGATTCTAAACAATTGTAGGAGAGAGTAGACCCGGTTCTATGTTCCCGAGTAGACACTTTGGATAAGTTTCTATCCAACCCTCGGTGCGTCACGCCATGGACTAAGGACTATGCCCTTAGACCGTGATCTTATAGGAACCTAGCATCCCCCAGGACCACACCAGGAAAACTTGACATGGAAGCCTGACTGGATGCACGGGGCTTTGCCTCAAAACTACCTGTCGCCCTTGGACTTAGACTGAAATTCCCTATGGGAGAGGTAGCAAATGATGTCACCCCAAGATTGTGGAAATGGCGGTTGTTGGACGTTGGGTGGGACCCCTGGCTTAGAGGGTGTCCAATGAAAGGACCCAGAACCACCATGTATTTTGTATTTCAATGGTCCTTGCACTAATATGACAGGTATTAATCTGATAGGCAAGAATCTGCCCTTGTAAGGATTGTTGCTGGAAAATTTCCCCTAGTACCAGCATCCATGCTCAGTGTAAACAGAGCTCAATCATTTAAGAACCCTATCTGTACAAAGCAACAATTCATGAATTACAGTTCCCAGCTAGACTATATTTGCAAAATTCCTCATCTTGACAGTATCTTAAATTCTATGTCATTGAATAAATTACTGATGTTATCAGTGCAATTGCCTTATATCCCAGGGGATGATTGATAATGTTTTTCTTTTGTTTGATTTTACTTATTGTAAAATGATAATATAACTGCTAAAGGAAACCAGAGTTCATAACCCATGGACAAGCAGATGGATTCTGTGCTCCC